AGGAGCATAATACCATTAAACACATTTTAACCAAAGCTAGCAGGTTAGCGGTTAGCCTTTTAGCGATTAGCGCTTAGCTAGTTATTGGAAAGTTTGTAGCGTTAGCGCTTAGCTAGTGAGAGGTAGCGCAGCTAGCGTTAGCGTAGCTGCGCTAGCTTTGGTTTATGTGTTTATGTCTGCTCTACCTAGCTAGCTAAAGAGAATGACAAGGTATTAATAATACTAGCACCCTTAAGATATATTATCCTGCTGTGCTGTTTTTTTTTTTCCTTAATTTACATTAGCACTTATTCAGGGCATAATACAATTAAACACATTAAGCAAAGCCCAGCACTTAGCTAGCGATTAGCCCCCAGGATAGCTAGCGATTAGCCGCTGCATTCAATTGTAGCAGCTTTAGCTAGCGTTAACGCAGTAGCTAGCGCCCAGCTTTGGTTACTGTGTTTATGTTATTCTTGCTTCTAACTAGCTACCTAAAATTAGGGTGATACAAATTAGCTAATTAATTAAATGCTTTGCTTGCTAGGACAACTACTAATGTTCTGAGTGCCATATAGTTAGACAGAACAAGGTATGAATGTGCTAGCACTCCCTACCTAGAGAGGACAAACGATTACTTTGCTAATTAAACGTCACAAAGACCCTGAAATTCTTAATTAGCCATCTATTTCAACTTGTTACACATGACACAAACAATACAGATTCAGTAATGTAATAAAACATCAAGTTAGATTTATTTAGTGAGGAAGAACTCAGACTGTTGTAACTTTGCCTATGACTGCACAGTAAGAATAGTTTTCTTTCTTAATTATGTGAATATATTTATTAACTATAAACATTGTTATTCATATTATTGAAAGCATTACTTATTATTGTTGTTGGTAGTATACTATTATTAATCATTATTATTAAATAACTACATGCCCATTATTCCCACCATTTATTGGTTATTACTTATTGGATTACTTTAGCAATTTTAATTAAACCATGACGCTTCCTGCATAATCCCAGGACAATATTATGCCAAACTCCATTTAAGAAATACCATATATTAACAAATGACTGGCCACATATAAGCACATAACTGTAGAAACACAAGAAAAAAACTCATCATATCTCAACAGTCTTCTTATTAATTCGTAATATAATACATAAATACCAACTTTTGGCCGACTTTGTCGCATCAACTCGTTATCAGCCTCACTGGCAGGGTGGGAGAAGACCGTGGCAATAAATGAGAAAAAAACAGATTTGTCATTAAAATACGTGGTTGTTAAGTGGATCACGCAGACGTTGAATTAAACATGGGTATCTCCCCTCATTGTACTGTAAATACCCGGCAGTGTCAGTGATGTATGAAGAGGCCAGTGTCAGGGTAAAGCAAGAACAAATAAAGTATTGCTTTAGAATTTTCCTAGTTAAACTTATTATTATTCTTCCGTACGTTCGGCGCGCTACTCCCTCCGCAGCTTTTTGTCTTCATACACAAAAAAAGGTATCAAAACGTGCGGCTCGAGCCGGGGAATCGAAGTGCTATGACTTTTCTAAGAATTCCCGCCAAACGGTTTTGCCGATCATCGCCAGCCCGGTCCAAAAATGAATGGGTGTGTGTACGCGAGAACCTCCAACTGAAAAAAACTGCCAGGAGTGCGTGACATCATCGCTAGAGTGTGGGGGAGAGAAAAATTGGGTGGAAAAATAAATTTGTAAACTGCTGTCACGACCACAAATTTCACTCTAAATAATTTATAACGAATAGAAACGTAGGTAAATTCGTTGGGGTCGTGATACTACTGCTGAAAGCTGTCAGACAAATAGTTTTGGCGGGAAATGCACTGATGCGCAGCCAGCAACTCCTCTCACAGCCCCATCTACTCCCATGTTAATTTTTAGAGGGACAAACTTGAAAGGAGCTCGTTGAACCTCTTCTCTCTCCAATCTCCCAGGTCACATTTTTTAACTTTAGCCACTGAAACTTCGGCAGTGCTATAGTCAACAAGATGACGATGCATACGGTGTTTTTCGGTTTTCATTTCGTGGTTCCTGGCCATGCTTTTGAGGATTCATTTTAAATGTTTTCTGTCTGTCTGAGGAGTTAGAGACAGAGAGAGCGAGTGCGCAGCTGCTGTGGGCTCCCCTGATTGCCATGACAACCATTCCTGCTCACACACACACACACAGCAGCTACAGGAGAATGACATGACATTAATAAGCTAGCGCTAACTGGCTTGCTAAAGATAATTAGCAGTGGCTAACAAGCAAGCAATTTAAACTGAATGATTTTAATATTAACACAAAATAAGAACAATATAAATAAATATTTT